GGGAGGGGGGCGTAGCGACAAAGGAAGAAGGTGAAATCAAAAAGCCTCCCACTCCCTCTCTCCCAGGAGATCGCCCTGGATTCGTCTATTTTTTGAAGATACTCCAATAAGGAGATAGTGATACACAACTTATATCAAGGACATCTAGCCTTGTCAAGTACTGGTAATCCCTTCACCAGATGAACTGAACGGGTTGGCCATGTGACGAAGAATGTTGGAAATCCCTGAGTTTGAGGCGAAGGCTGGTTATGTTGTCCATGGCTGTTTTCTGCTGGAATTGCTGGTCAACCGCTGTATTCATTGTGGACGGGGGGAAACTGTGCAGGAAACACGGCGTCCAGACGAGTTATTTATCTTGGAGGACGATTGGACGAAGGGACATAACAATAACAATAATTCCCCGGCAGACGAAATTGCTTTTATTAAAAATGCAAAATCGGACGAACGGATAGCGCTGGCCAGCCACAACTGCACCACCACCAAGACCTAATGCACAGCCGATCACGGAAGTGCTTGGCCCGCCTTCATGACAGGTCAACAGATGACGCAGTACTGGTCAAAGTAATTGAAAATGCTTCCAGCTAATTAGCTGAAGTAGCTACGAATTGTAACTGTTGGAGAAGGGAAGGGCGGGAAGGAGGACCGCTGGTAAATCCTCAAGAAAAGAAAAGCCAGGATTCCGACCAAGCTGTGGCACTAATTAAAGCGACTACAAAACGAACCAGCCGCACGTATGAAGCATTCTATGAATGTCCCGGAAATCCCAAGTATTAAGAATACTTTATGAGTGTCCTTGCCTATATGCAAATTACAAAAACACATACTGCGACGACCCAGCCTGTGTGTGTGCGTGAGTGTGTGTGTGTGCGTGCATGTGCGTGAGTGTGCGCATGTGTGTGTGTGTGTGTTCGTCTGTCCAGGTGTTTTAACTCGGCAACCAAACAAGCTTCGGCGCCAAAATTTTGCTGGTGAGTTCCCAGGCTAAGCGCCCCAGAACCGTGGTATCAACCCTCACGCAAGTCTGGCCACGTGTACGAGTGGGTGGAAGTTTTGGCGGGAAAATTGGGGGACGAGAAAAGCTGGAAAGCTGAAATCCTGAAGTTATGTTCCCCTCCACACAGAACTCAAAGATTTCAAATTCAGCCCCCAGGTATGCGCGATTCCCGCGTACGGCCCCGTGAGGGTTCCTGACGGGAAAATCGCTAACTTCGGAAAGCTAGGAGGCTAAAATTTTAAGGGAATGTTCCTCGCCCATGTATGACTTAAAATTATCAGATTCAGCCCCAGACATGTGTGGCTCTCATGTACGGCCCCGTGAACATTTTTGGCGGGAAAGTGGCTAACTCAAGGACTAAGGAAGCTGGGAGGCCGAAATTTTAAGGGAATGTTCCCCACCCATGCACAATTTAAAGATTTCAAACCCAACTCCCAGGCATGCCCCCAGGTCACGTACGACCTTGTGAAAGTTCTGGCGAGAAAACTGTTAACTCGGGAACTAGAAAAGCCGAGATTTTAGATGAATATTCCCCGTCAAAATATAACTTAAAGGCTTCGAATTCAGCCTCCAGATACGCGTGGTTCTCGTGTAAGGGCACTTAAATTTTTGGTGGGAAAATTACTTTTTCAAAAAACGACCGCTAGATGAAATTTTCTTTTATGTAAAATTTACAATGATTTACGGTATTGAGCGCACAAAGTAGGTGTGAAGGAACAACCATTCATACAGTTAACCTAATTACTTCAAGTCTGGTGCAAAAACGCATGATCGCACTGGCTCGCTCAGCGAGTTCCAGCATGGGCTTTAAAAAAAATGACACATCCTTTGGAGATTACTGGAATGCAAACTAGGATCGCTGCATTTACAAGAGGTTATTGTGCTTCTCGAGATATGCGTTATTCAATATAAAAAAATTCCTCCATACTCAGGTACCATTTAGGTTGTCGCACCTACCGCGTGTCATCGTAACTCAGTAAGTCTTTTTTTTCTCCTTCCCTCTTCCTCTCCCCCACCGGAATGCTTACCGTCTCACTATGTGCAGTGTAATGCAAGAGCTATTAGATGGCCGAACTAAAAATGAACGGTCCAAGTGAGGCGACCAACTTGAGTTAAATTGATAAAAATTTTGGCCGTTGATACGCCAAACCAAACATTCTGAAGCAACGGCCAGATCGAGCCGTGGAAAACACGGAGAAGTCGAAATGCGTAAATTCTAGTGTGAAATAGTTAATGGAATGTGATGGGGAAGACAGCGAGATTGTTAATGTGGTTCAAACCTTATGACATGTAAATAAATAGCAACGCGCACCAGACTAGCCGGGCGATCATGCGTTTTGTGCAATTCAGCCCATCGAACGATTGCCTGTTAATGCTTTTCACTGCTTTGTACTATAGTCTATGCAAAAATAGTTCAAATATTGGGAAACAGTTAAAAATTTCACGCACAAGCGCATGAAAGCTGAAATCGACACCTTGAGCGGTGAATATCTTTACCCCGAGTTAATAATAATTATCCACCAAAATTTTTATGAGGCCGTAGGTAATACTCAAGAGCGCGGGAGCGCTGAATTTGAATGGGCAAGGTTAAGCATGGGCAGGGGGTCATTACCCTAAAATTTCAGCCTCCTAGACTCCGTGGTTCCTGAGATATTGATTTACCCGTAAAAAATTTTCGCGGGGCCGTACGAGTTACCCGCGGATACGGGAAGGCTGAATTTAAATTTGCCGCGTCACCCGTTGGCGGGGAACACTATACCAAAATTTCAGCCGCTTAGCTTTTGTGGTTCCCGAGTTAAAAGTGTGGGACAAAATGTGGGACACATACACAGACAACCCCGTGACAATATGCGTTTTGTAACGCTGTTACACAGCACAAAACGCGTAAAAACTCTTCTGCTTATTTAAACGATGTACTAGCAATAAATACAGCGAAACGTACCGTAAACACGGCAAAGCCACGTCGAATGGCCGCACATCTGCTTAGTTTCTGAAGCAGTTGAAAAGTGACCAGTTGCCGCCCCGATAACATATCGCATGAAAAATGCTTAAAAAAATATATGCACATATTTTCATTCACAGAAATATTTCTCGAGCATTTTTAAAGACAACCAGCGTGGTAAATCGACTTGTACAGCTAAATAAAATTATGTGGCCTGAAGCCCAAAACAGATGATGATGGAGAAGCTGCCAGTTGCATCAGTAGCGAGAAGAAACGCGATAATGAAACAACAGCTGATCAAAGCATGTATGAATTGGGAACACAACTGAATCTTCTATTTTTTTAAATTTTTAAATATAAAAAACCCGGAAAACCAAGTGGTAAGAAACCACAGCAAACAGTTCAGCAGTACTCGATCGTTTTTATTTTTATATAAAATGCAGAGTGTCAAGAAAGATAATCAGAAATACAGGAAAGTAGAGAAAATCTATGAGCGCAAGTGTAACACTGTACAAGCATGACAGAATTTTGACATAAGTAAACCTCTAATGGAAACAAAACTCACAAAAAAAAAAGCTGCTTCCCAGTCCGAGCTCCTCACAGTTCTCTGTTTATGAAAACAGCTTGAGATCCAAGCAAACAGTGGATTAAATAGTCGGAAAAAATATTAAAAAATCACCCAAATGACAACATACTGCTAAAAGCAAGCATATTTTGTTAATGATTCGATGACCACCCGCACCCCCTCCCCCCTTCGAGGGGTGCTCGACGATGACCCCCACCCTCCCTCCCCCCCACTGCCCCGCTTTCTCTTGAGGATTGCTTAAAATCAAACTAATATAGTTTTTGACTCCCAAAATGCGGCAGTATTAATTTTTTTGCTATCCAAGCGAATGAACGAATTGTAGAGAGAATGGTTTCCCATTGGCCGAACTGGACTATAATCATAAGTTAGCGTTATTCACTTGGTAAATACAATAAACAGCGGCGCACACCAAAGTAGCCGGTGCTATCATGCGTTTTGCGCAATTCCATTCAGCGAACATTTGCTTACTGAATTTAATTCCTCTGATTCGTAAGTGGGCAGAGAGCACGCCCATAAAATTTTAGCTTTCTAGCTTCCGTGATTCCCGAGATAATGATTTTACCCGCCAAAACTTTTACGTGGCCGTACGTGTTACCCGTGGGTAAGGGAGGGCTGAATTTAGATTTGCAGAGTCACATGTTGGCGGGAAATACTTTATTAAAGTTTCAGCCGCCTAGCTTTTGTGGTTCCCGAGTTGGAAGTGCGGGACAAAATGTGGGACACACACAC